GGGGCGGGGGGTCCCCCGACACACCGAACAGCGCGAAAGCCCCCCCCCCCCCCCCCCCCGCTCACCTTGATCATCGCTGTAAAAAGATACCCCACTGCTTTGACCTTTTTTGCGTTGCCCCTGATCGAAATCGAAAAACCAGGATTACGCCCCCCCCCCCCCCCCCCCCCCCTCCTCCCCCTCCCCCCCCCCCCCCCCCCCCCCTTACAGACCACAGTAGCGAAAAAGAGAACATTACATACACATATCCCCCTCTTACAGACCATAGCAACAAAGAGAATATTACATATAGCTCCCCTCCATTACAGACCATAGCAGCGTAAGTTCCCATTACAGACAAACTCTCATTGTAGAGATCCCACATTACACACACCAGTCATTACAGATCGTAGCAACGCAGCTCGCGTGATAATAGAGTTAAACAACTGAAATAAAAGTCTTCCATTAAGTTTTGATACCATGTACAGATATCCATCAATCATTTTCCATTTACTCACAATTGTAGTTATAGAACGAAAATAAGAGATTTGTACAGCAAACGATATTGGCTCAAATGGTAAGATGAAAGACAGTCAGAAGGAGCTGACAGTATTCAAAGTGAAGCTACTCATATACAGTCTATAATATTATAAATAAATATTTATTGTATGAAAGTGAACTTATCAATATGTAATTTAATAATCACAAATAAGTATAAATTCTTATTCTTTGAATAATACATCAATTGATTCATAAAAATAGAGAATTTAATCAGATTGTAATTTCTTTTTTACGTGTTCATATTAATGGAAGTGGTAATGTGTATACTTAGATCACTCTGATAAAAAAAAAACGTGTTGTTATATAAGTATTAGTTTGAGCAACTAAAAAATAGTTTTAAATAATAAGAAGACAAAATAGTTCAAGTTGTTATTTCGGTCTATTTATATATGAAGTGATAATAATGAGAAATGTTTCATAATTATCATGCGACAAAAGTCAGTGAGGATGTTTCATTACTTTTTATTCCGTAAAGCTTTTGTCTTTTTTCTTACAAAATCCTTGACTTTTTTCCATCTATGGCTATTGTAGTTACTAGCACCTTTCTAGATGTCTTGTAGTAAATTCAAGTAATTATTTTCATGCATTTTCCCTATAAATAAAAAAAAAAAATTTCAAAATTTGCGTCTTATAGAGTTATCAGAATGCAAACTTTGAACTCTTCTAGTGTATTTAAAAATTTTATTAGTTTCATGCAATCTAACTTTTTTATTAAACTAACCTTCAAGACTTTAACTCACTTTTCGAAATCGTACCGAAATATATTTTAAACACTTTCTCACTCTATGCATCATTTACAACATCAACAGTATAAACAGACATATCATATAAATATTTCATGATATTTTTTTTTGAATATTATATTCAAACAAAGAACAACGTGTATATATTAAAAAGCATTGATCTAAAATTTCTAATATTTTCACTGTAATACTAGTAACCATTAATAACGAAACAAACTTATACTGAATAAATCCTCATTTGTTTTAATTTACGCTTACCATTTCCATATTTTGACATTTAATATATATAGAATAATTAAAGGCCCTCTATCGAATAAGCACTTAAATCGTAGGGAATATGTGAGTTCCACATTTTAGCCCCGAAGGGGCTGCGCTAACAAGCTTTTTTTATTTTAGTCCTTTTTTTTCTTTTCTTTTCTTTTCTTCACTCTTTTACTTATTAAATGCATTCGATGTAAGTTTCTATTTTTGTCGAAAAATTGTTTGTTCTTTGGCGATATCAAGTTTCATATTGAATCTGTTTCACAATGTTTCGATTTTTATTTATTAATAGAAGTTATAAAAAAAGTGCTTTCTTTGGTTCACCCTTCAAGACAAGAAATACATTTCTTACGTGTAGCACCATTCATACTATGGACATTTCGAGAGATTCTGCATTGAAATAAGCTGGTTCTGATGTGAACAGATGAAAATATGTTTCGCCTTGTTTTTTATCGATTACAATAAGCCCATCAACATGTACTCAGTGAGAATCTTCAGAAATGTATGCTTAATTGAGTGAGGCAAAAAAAACATCATTGAATTGTGTTGAAAATTCACTGAGGAATTACAATCGTTTGAAATTGATTCAATATATTCCGCAAAGAACGATGTATGCAAAATTCATAGGAAATGAAGAATTTGCCATGATAGTCTTATATATTATGACCGTAGAGTTAGTTGATAGGGAACACCAACTTATTGGAAGCTATTAGCCTATGGCATGATATTCCACCTGCCTCGATGAATGCACAGAATCAATTAGCTAGTAATAATTCATACGGAGGTATTTTTGGTTTTTCTTGTCACAATTCTTCTTTTGCTTTTGACAATCAACGAAAGTCATTGTAAATGTGAACAGATACAAGTTTTAGTCTCAATTATAGATTTACATAAAAAGTAACGATATTCAGAATTGAACAAACTTTTTGAAAAGATTAATATCAATACCCATATGTGCTTCACTCATATAGCAATTAGATATTGTTTATTAATTTAAGTAAATATATGAATACTCAGTTTCTTTGGAGTGCTATAGATCACACGATATTATATGAATCGGAACTATCGTAAAACTTTTAGTATTTTCCAAGATACTTTTACATTTTACGACCTAAAAAATCACAAAAATTCAAAGCTACAAAGGTTTGGAACTCCTCCCAAAGTTCAATAGTTCTAAAAGTGTCCAGTAAAATATGAAAGTCATTTTTTCATCTTGTAAATATAACTGCTAGCTAATCAATGACATGAGTTGAGAAAGACAGTAATACTCTGGTTTAAATAATTTGCTGTTGCTATATCCAGCTTTCCATCATAATTGAAATCACCTGATGTCAGAGAATCTGAGTAATCGGCAGTATTAAACTCTTGATGATTTTGGAACGCTCCATTCCCGTTTCCAAAAAACATACTAATGACGTTGCCGTAAATACTGGACGCTACGAAATCTAATTTTTCATCATTATTAAAATCACCCACGGTTAACGATAATGAACCCATAACGTTCCGATATAATTCTGTTTTTGAGAATCCTCCATTATCATCTCCAAAGAGAACAACAATGCCTGTCTCCCATCCAACATGCGCTACTACAAGGTCCAATTTATTATCAAGATTAAAGTCTCCCGAGACCATAGAGGTTGGATATGGGTGTGTAATATATTCTTTTTGATTACCAAAACTCCCATCACCTTTTCCAAGTAACACAGTAATACAGTGGGGGTCGTGGTTGCATATTGCTAAATCTTGTTTATTATCATTGTTGAAATCATCTGATATAACACAATACGATGATTCACTATTGCCATAATTAATTCCTGAAGAAAAGCTTCCATCACCTTTTCCAAGCAGCACGGTGACACTGGTTTTATTGTGAAAACTATAGTTCGCAATAGCCAGATCCAATATTCTATCGTTGTTAAAATCACTTGTAATCATAGAGTATGACCACGCGTTCGTGTGATACTGTCCATATTTTTGAAACGTCCCATCTCCATTTCCAAGCCAGATACTAACATAAAAATTGTTAATAGCCACGTCCATTTTTCCATCTTTGTTAAAGTCACCGGTGGTTATAGCTGTTGGCTCTACATTTGTAGCATATGATGCATAAAGTTGAAAAGATCCATTTCCACTACCGAGAAATATGCTGAAATGTTCATCACCAAACGTAGCCACGACAAAATCTAATTTACCATCATTATTGAAATCATTAGATACGATATGACGGGGCTCATGTACAGTATTGTAAACTGTTTTACTCCTGTAAAGGACGCTACAGTTAGAACCTACAGAAACGAGGTTTAGAAACATGAACATTGCATATAATAGATGATTTGATCTTACATTTCCCGTATTAAGTTTAGTGACTAAGAATGCAGGGAAATCTTAACTCGTGATTATAATATTTGGGATCCCAAGTAAATGAAGTTTTCCTCTTCGAGTCCTGTGATAGGCTTCATTAACGAGAAAATATTTAACTGAGAATGTCGGTTTAAATCTGTGCATATCTTATGAGTTTGGTGGTAGATGATTCAGCATGGGGTATTGGTCATTTTAAGTGCTGACGAAGGTCTTTTCTTCATTTATATTTGCACCCACTCACAATACTTAGAGTTGACCAAAAGTTCTAAGCCCGATGTTTAAAGGATCTTGTCGAATAAGGTAACCTATCCAGAAATGAAAAATCAAATATACTACGTTGTAGAGGTTTTTGAGGCGCATCGAATGGTATATAGTAAATCCTATTTTCATACGACTTTGAAGGAATTAGAGTCAATTTACTGATGGATGACTGCACACTCATACCTACACCCACCCATACCTACACTGACAAGATGACCAGATATACCTACATATATGAGGTTGTAGTCCGTCAAAAATTCTACAAAACCGTATGTGAGAAAAAATATTTTACAAATACTTTCGACTAACACGAAAGGCCACAATATTCAGTAACTTATTATACTGGCGTGTGGGTGTGTAGTCACCTATCAGTAAATTAACTTTAGTTCCTTCAAAGTCTTATGAAACTAGGATTTACTATATAGCATTCGACGCGTCTCAAAAAGCTCTACAACATTGTATATTTAATTTTTCATTTCTGAATCGGTTATCTTATCCGACAATGTCCTTTCCACACGGGGCTTAGAACTTTTGGTCAACCCTAAGTAAGTGTCTTCGAATTTTAGCACTCTATGAGTAAGACGCAAAAAATGATGTCATTTATCATGTCGACGATTTCTAATCATATTGTGCTTTCTAAATATTTTTTGAGAATTCGATGTTAGATACTTGTTCGACTTACTTTTTGTCGTAAATAGAGGACTCCCAGGAAAGCAAAGGACAGGCAAATGACAACATTTTTTTCTAATTACGAAAATGTATCTTGCCTGGTCTTTGTATTAAAACTTCCTTGAACAATGCCAGTTCAAAATTTTTTTTTTTCATCTATAACTCACGTTCTGACTATTTAAACGACGATAGTTATTCGATTTGTTATGCTTAGTCTTCTTGAGAAAAATATCATCCATGTATTATCAACCCGATATCGGTCCTAAAACCGTTTAAAATCAAAATGAAAGAGTATCTGAGATGCTACATATGGTGAATTGTAGATTACTTGGTGGTCGAATCTGGATTAACTCAAACAATAGAAGTACAAGCACAAAGGTTAGATTCGATAATGTATACAATATCTCACCAAGTACCTAGTTAAGTGGTTTTTCAAAATTCGACTTTGATTAAAATTTTTTTATCATACAGTACTATATCAACTACGTAAAATTGAATAAAATTAATATACATTTTTTTTTTATTTTCTCGAAATTTATTTCTCATCACTTGCTCCTAGGAAGTATATTTTCTCACCAAAAAAGAGCTAAACACAATAATAAACTAAAAAGAATTGAAGATGAAAAAAATAATTTCATTCACATTAAGATTGGAGTTTCTTTCAATTTCAAATTTTCGTAACTTAAACTGAAATAATGTAATGATATATTTTCAAATTAATCAAGTGAATCAACATTTAGACCAAAGTCTGCTTATAGCATTCAGACATTATGAGTTTTTTTTAAGTAAATTATATCGAAATCATTTCAAGATCTATCAAATATAAAAAAAACATTAATAGACGATTTTTGGTGGAAAAACTCAAGATGCTTCATATTTTTTATTTATTTGTTCTTTGATATAGCTTTTGTAATGTAGTATAAAATAATGTAATTTTTTACTCTCTAAAAGGTGCTTGATAAACCCTTCGACTTGCAGCAAATAAAATTGTAAATTTGTACACGAAGTATAATGAAATATAGACAAGCACGAATGCCTTAAGTATGTTAAAGATCTTTCTGATTAGTCAACTCGCTATCATCTTTTTTATTTTAATTACATATTAAATGAACAAATGCTTTTCTATTATTTAGATTGCTTAAAATGTTACCTTTCTGCTGCTAAGTCATCGTTTATCGTGGCTAGGTTCGTCTAATGTAGAATACTGCCACACTAAATCTTCAAATCCATAGTTCATCTTATTTTCTTTCATTTTGTTCTACTTCTCTAACTAGCTTGGATGAAATGGGCAAACAAAACTCACTAGACATCTAGGATGCAATAACGCTTTGGCTTAGGCTAAACATAGTAGAAGAACGTTTTGTCGAAAAGACAACTGATCCTGATAGACATGCAACACGTCTCTAACTAAATGGGACAGGTAGCACTGACACCTTAGACTAGTCATCCATGACTCTCTCACCTATTGGTTACTTACGTGGGCTCATGGCTGACATATTAACATGATTGGTACCAGTGACATCAATTGCACATAAACTCCATCTCGGTCGACTGTTACTTGATACAACTAGAATATATTGTTGGTCAGATTTCAGAAAAACCGAAAATTCAATTCGATTGTGGATGAAGGTTGCGTCATCGCTAATGAGAATATCGAACCAAGAATCAGAAGCATTGAAAAGACTGATGTAACAAGTGCCGACTGCTGGTATACTGCTTTTGCTCTTGAAATCATAATAGCCAGTATTTGAAACGACTACCTGAATGGCTTCATAATATTGATACATCGTTGAACATCTAACACAGAAATATTTTGAACTGTCGGTTGTAAATGCAGAAGTGTACCACGAATGGACAATCGAAGAAGGTGCTATTTAGAGAATATTGGAAAATATGAAGACCTTCAAGAGGTTTAAGTAAATGGAATTAAATCTCATCTTTATTCGTTGTAAGCTAAAGTTTTAGTGATCTCAATCAAACTAGTGTTCAGAGGTCTGCTGTGAAACAGATGCATTATAGGATGCAGTTGAAGAAAATCTCTTTCCCTTCACTGAAGCCTAAAGATAAAACTCACTGAACATTCACAAACGTATCCTCACTGCTATGTACACTGTCAATAGTCAACAATAGTTATGTCAATGATTTCGTTCAATCTTTGGGGATCCATTGTAACATGGTTGCCCACTTGCACACATGCCTATTTTCAGCTGTCACAGAACCACGAAAGGTTGTTAGTGCAATTGAAAATTTTACTAAACCTTAATTTTCATGAATTCATGAAGCTATCTTCATACCAGCTAGATAATATTCTTGCATCTCTGCTGCATAGTGTAGTGTTTTACTCTCATCATAAAGTGATGACGACACGAAAAGGTATGCAAAAACAAACAAATAATGAAAAAGGAAGAGAAGAAAGTGATGAAAACGTGCGAATAATTATGTAAACATATATATTTCGTCAATAAGATTAAAGAAAAAAGAGAAAAATATGTGGGAATAAGGAAAACCATTCAAGTGTGGATAATTAACTTCAAAAAACCCAAAGAAGTTGCTAATTTTAATGTAGTAAATGAAACTGCCGAAGAAATGATACTCTGAGTCCTAACAATTTCTCAGAGGTTCACTCGATGAATAGGAGATGACTTAGAGTTGTCGAGACGAGGTGAGTCACGTTAAAGAAGTTTGGGTCAGATGAAGACTTTCAAAATTTAGAAAATAAGCATATTTTTTGCTTCAAAAAGTAGATAAGAGTATAGATGGTATATGTGAGCAGACTTTGATTTAGTCCAACACACTGTGGTATATCCACACTCACAACTCATATCCTATGACCTACTCGTCTGAATATTTTCAATGGCTGGCTGTCGCGCTTTGTTCAAGCCATAAACAAGTCCAAATATGAAGCAAACTAAAAGGATTATGCCTGCCAGCAATAGAATCATTCGACGAGAATTGCAGACTGCGTTCTTTGACCTATGCACATTTTCAGTATTGGATATGTTGGGTACTTGATCGGATGTGCTTCTAAATACCGTGTTTACATCAGGAAGTGTTACAGACTCATCATATCTATTAAAAGATATGACTGAAGTTCGTCTTTGAGCAGCTAGATATCTTAAATGATCGTCAGCTCGTAACTCGTCAACACTCAAGGGCTGTCGAGTCAACGGACTAGTTCCATACTCAGCAATCCATCGCAAAATTGCTGCTCGCTCGTATACATGTCCATCACCAGCAATCACAGGATCACGAAAGATTTGAAGAGTAATTGGACATGTGAGGGTATCCTCATCAATAGGATTTTGTGCAACCATTTTTGTTCTTCGAATTCAATATTCTTGCGTCTATACTGTTCAGCGTAGCAGAATCCTATGATTCTAAAGTAATGACGGTACTTATCCGTAATATAATAATGAAAAAGAAGAGAAGACTACAAAGTGATGAAAATGAGTGTCACATTTATGTAAACATGTGATTTTCGTCACTAAGAGCAAATGAAAAAGGGAGAAACATGAGTCACAAAATAAAATCACTCAAGTGTAAAAAAATAACTTGAAAAAACCGAAAAGGAACGTTGATTCTGCATTAAGTGAAATTACTGAAGGGATGAAAATATACGTTCTCTATTCTCATTATTGATCCTTCTTGGAGAAGTTCTAGAAGAGTCATTCAGGGTGCGGAGTATCTAAGATGAAGTTGATTACTTAAAAAAAACTTGAAAACTCGAGAAAAAGGATTTCAAAAATCAAGAGATGATTGGATGTTTTTTTCTTCAAAGTTACCTAAAGATGTGGGTACGACAGTGGATTTGTGTCAATAAAACACTGCCCTATGATGACACCTGAGAAATACATAGAACTTGTTAGTAGTTAGATTCGAAGCAATTATTAGACTCAGATTAATGATTTTGGTCGAAGTTTGGAATACGCCTTGAGTCTGATTTCGAAAATGTTTTAGCTAACTAAAACAATTTTTCTTCAATCGAGAAACAAAAACCACAAAATTTCTTCGAATTATAAAACTAG